TCCAGGTATCCCAGAAATAGATACCTCCTTGCGTATCACCACGCAAATCGGGAACTTCATCGAGTCACCGGCGAGCGTAGCAATCATTTATGTGTTGCACGGTTCAGTGACAACGGTGTGGAATCATGTGTGCGCGCTCGTTATCTCTTTCCCTCCCTCCCTCTCTCTCTCTCTCCTACTCTTGTCAGGCGTCGAGACGCACGCGCGCATATATCAGAATATGTGAGTTTGTGAATTTACGACGACCTCGCGATCCGGGTTTTCCAGTGGCAAAACCAGTTCCCGGCGACTCGCACGCGGCCGATGTTAATGAATTTGATAGCGAGCGCGGCAACAGACACGCGGAGAATGCAGCACGAAGCGAGAGCTCGCCGCGCGCTCGTTGCTGTTTTCTAAAAAATTTCGCCCCGTGCGTCGGGTCTCCGCGAGGAGTCAACCTGGACTCGCAGAGAGCATGCGGTCAATCGATGTCAGACCTGTTCTTTTTAATTGGACCGCATTGGACATTTGACCTCGTTTCTTTTCTCTTCAATGTTTGGTTATACGAGATCAGGCGATAACCATTACCACCTTGAATATCTGCGAAATGCGAGAGCAAGGAGAAAAATTTATCAGAAATTTTGCATCGATATGTCAGTAGTCGTCACTTCGGACATCTGTAAACGTAACGTAAATTTCTCTCATCTTAATTTAGAGGAACATAAAAGAAAAGTGTAAAACAGTTTTTCTGCGGATTTCTTAATGCAATTAAGTGCAAATTAAATTTACAAATGAATTCAATAGGATTAAAGTGTTTAACCATCAGTTTTTTATCTTCGTTTATGCTAAGTTTACTTTGGACGCTTTCGCTTACTGTAAGCGTCATTCTATCTTTATTGTTTATTACATACTGAAGGAAGATAGAATGATAATATTTTCAGTACGAAAGCGAACTTAATCCTAGTCATTAATAAGACATTATTATTTCTCAAAAATATTCCAGGTGGCAATAATTATTTCTTCACCCTGTATGCTCGTTTCACACTTGATAGGCGAAAGGTACAAACTAGTTTCAGTCAGAAGGAACTCACCTGTCGTCTCCGTTGACGTCTGTTCGCGCGGTAGAACCGCAACTCGATTCGCTCGAGTGCCGGAAATTTAAATTTACCATTGACATGCTATTCTTGTACGACAGCGCCTTAATATTGTAATCGTTTAATGTAGTGATTGTAAATCGTCCAGATAAGGAGATTAGCGGGATCGATTGACCGGCGAAATCGGCGGAGCGAGACCGCCGGCTTGTCCGGCTTTCCGATCTGCGATTAACTCGCAATCGTCGGCCAAGTGAACGCGCGACAGATGTGCTCTTATCTCGATTCAATGAACACTGACGCAGACAAATCAATCCGTTAACTACCGTGTGGCTCGGACTCGCCTTGTGAAACATTTCTGACGTATCACACCCAACATCTCTCCGATGTGTACAAGCGGTCGAGTTTCGGCAGGGGCGAAGTTGTCGCTTTGAACTTATCGCTTGCGATATCTCCGGGATGATATAACGATTTATCTTTATATATAGAAGGTGAGAAATGGACTTCTCGAAAGTTTATAAATAAATGTCGCACGCTACAGAATGAACGATCGCTAACGATCGGAGGCAGATTGCGATTTTGTAAGAACGATTTTAGAACGCCCCGATAAACAGACACGCGATTCAATCGCGATGAATTCCTCCTGGGGAGTCGCAAATTTACTCCGTTGATTCTGTTCGCTCAATGCCGTAGTAAAGATTCGAAAAAATTAAATTTTAATAGTATAATTTACTTCTATTTTAACCGTAATGATGTCTCAAATTTCCGTTTTCCATATTTCAGCGTTAAAGTAGGTTGCTCAAGGTAGCATTGAACTTAAATTTGTACAATTAAAAGTTCAAGAGAGAAATTAAAAGATGCCGGTATCGATATCAAAGTAAGTTTTTATTAGTTTATAGAGCATTTAAGTAGGCCCAAAGTATCTTTAGAGCTTGAAAATAGCATCTAAATTTTTACTCGAATTACGACGCGATTTGATCGCAGTTCGTGCGAATTTCTTTATGTTGGACTATTGCGACGACAAAACTGTCGATGACTCGCGAAGAACGCCGATCAAGACTCACCGATAAACCGTCTGTTTCCGCTCGCACGCGTAATCGAGACGGGAAGTTGCCGGATAAGTAGTGAATCGCCTCGAGAAATCGAATATGGATTTCCAGCTGGAAGATTTCGTGAACGGCCGGTGACGAGGCACATTGTGCGTGTTACGCCGTCATTAATACTGCATAATTAATGCGCCGTGTACTATCAAGACATTTCCTGAATGACGGAATGAAGCTTATCGATTCAACTTATTTTAAATTCTGAATTTGACGCAATCAGAGAGATATCGGCTCTTACGTTGGTCGTGAGGTGTGTCATTCAGAAAGGAAACGAGAACGAGAGTCCTAGATATTTCCACATTGCCTCAATATTGTCGTAATTTTTTTTATTCGCGGCGTGACCGAACTTCGACACTTTTATCGCGCAACGCACGACGGGTAATTTCTTTCTAATCTGTTTCTTCTAATATATTAAAAAAATTAAAACGCGGTAACTTATCCCTTGTCCACGATCTTGCTTTAAGATGTGAGCAGTAATCAATTTGGAAGAATAATCGATCGTGGTCAATTTGCTTACTGTTTGCGTTTTAAAATAAGACTGTAGACGAGGGGTTACACGTTAGCGCTAAGACCGAATTATCACCCTGTTCGCGAGTTAACTCCAATCGAGAGGCAGTTAACGCGGGTGGAAATCCGTCCGAGACGCTCCGCGAGGCGACGTTTGATATCTGTCTGGTCGAAAACGTTGCGGAAACGTCAAAGCTTTAGTCACGTTTAGCGTTAAGTACGTGACGCGTAAACGTGACAGCATGAGAAACCGCGATCTAATATATCGGCAGAGAAAGGAAGAATAAGAAGTGTGATCTACGGTCATCATCGTCGGTCGCGGAAAATTTCACTCGAAGAGTACAGGGGAAAACAATGTGAAATACTGAAGAATCAGATTGTAGGCAGTACAAATTTTTAGAAAATTTTTGGAAGTAACTAAACATTTTTCAGGATTCTAAAAGATGCATAAGATCCGTATCGATAGTGTTGCCTGAAACTTGCCTCAAGTGAGATTCGATCTTAAATTCTTATTAATAGTTGTCACTTGAAACTCGTCTCATGTGAGATACTTAGATTTTAATTCGGAATTAAATCCGAGTTTTTTAGGTGAATCTTATGATATATTTGATATTACGTCCATAAACGCTATTCGACTGAAAAACTCATTAATCTAACTCTGAATCATTTGAGACTAGTTTCAAGTAACGACTATAGTTTTTTCAGCTGAATAAATGTCGCATATATTATATGATTCGCAAACAAAGAAACTCGAATCTACTTCTAAATTCAGATTTGAATATTTCACTTGGGACAAGTTTCAAGTAACGACTATTACTATTAATACGAGCCTAAAAGATGTCGAGCTTTTCTCAAGCATCTTTTGGATATTCTAAAAATTTGAGCTGTCTGGAAATTAACGTAATTTGCAGTAACGTCCTGCTTCCAAGCCTGAATAAGGCTGAGCATAGCATTCGTTAGTTATTCACGACGTTTTGTCTCACGATAAATACCGAAGTCGTATGTATGATAATGCGATGCCTCGCCTATGTGATGATAATTCGCGCGTAGCCGGATGATAATGCATGCACAAACACACGCGAGGTTTTACATTTTTTGCCAATAAATAACGCGGGAAAGCCGAGGCTCCTCGGGCTTATCCGGATGATTTATCTGTTGGTCTGTCGAAATCGACCGCGCGAATTTGTCCCAGATATTGTATCAATGACGTTGACGAGTGATTGCGATTTATTAGACGCTTTTATAGGCTTCGAGGTGTTTTCTGTGTATGGGATTAATGACGTCATTATGCAGTGCTTCGAAGCGTTTATGGATCCTGTCATTTAACGTTACGAAGACATTTCTTTGTTTGGAATTTAAATTCGAAATTCCTTTCACGCGCACGTGACGTAGAGACAGGAGAATGAGTGAGTGAGTGAGTGCGTGAGAGAAAGAAAGAAAGAGAGAGAGAGAGAGAAGAGAACGCTCACTGTGCGTCTGAAATACGCGTGTCGCTATCGGAAAGAGACGTGCGCCAACGTGCGCAAGTTGCGCATCCACTCTCGTGAGGATGTAAAATGAAAGTGAGAGAAGTATGCCAGCAACTTGCAACTGTAGACGTCTCGACTCGTCAGCGTCAGATCGATAGAAATCTCATAAATTTCAGGATAAATATGGCACATCCGCGAGCGTTCGCGCGCGAACCGTCATGACGCAGATTTTCGCGCGGGCCGCCAGAAAGACCACATTGTTGCAACGACTATTTTCTTTTTATTTTTTACTTCACTTAGATCGAATCTCTCGTTCTTTATCTTTCTTCTCCTAAATGGAATCTTATCTATGGAATTAAATTGTGCTTTAATTCTAATTTACGACTCGTTACAGAGACGCCTGCTTGAAGTCAACGTGATATTTTATTGCTTAGAGAAAAAAACATGGCAGAAGATTCACTACACTCATTATAGATCTGGACTTAAACATTCAAGAGGCGTCTTCCAAATATCTTTCAGACGTGTCCTAAGACCCCACGTTGCTTGGAGCACTGTTTATGTACGATCATTTTATTCCTTATTTTCTCTTTATCTATAGAATTTAATTACATTTTAATTCTAAATCCTCACGACTCGTCGTAAAGATATCGGCACGTGTTTTCGCGAGGAACGCACGGACGTTTACCTGAAGTCAGCAAGAAATGCGCATTGCATCTGCGAGACGTTCTTTAAACATTCAAGGAGCACAGTCGTCCTTCGGATATCTTTCGGATGCGTCTCGAGACTCCACGTTGCTCAGGGCGATGTTTACGAATGGTGAAGGTTTACACGGTTTCAAGTCGCGAACTCACCTTGCTGCCGAGGAAGGATGAGCGTTCTCGCAGATCGACGTTTCTCGCGGCTGCGATCATGGAATCGCCCGACGAAACTGTTGCTGTTGTTGTCTACGTAGATCGCGCGTATCAACATATGGCGGGCACTCGCGCGACACACAACTCGACCCGTGCGTTGTTCGCCGACGACTGATTCGCCGCCGTGCGATTCTGCGTGTTTCGCGCGAACCGCTCGCCAACTGACCGCGGAAAGACACGCGCTTGCTCGTTCGCTCGTTCCTCTTCTGCTTTCCTCCTCTTTAACGAGACGTGCCGCGACTTCGAGCAGCGGGCTTCTCTTCTTCACAATGAACGTACGGCGAATGTTCCACGGACGCTGAAAGAATTCTTCGGAACGTGTAAAATTGGAAAATCGGACCACTCTGTGGAAACAACTGTGGGAATTTCCAATGCGGGCGAAAGCGCGCCGTTGCTGAAAATCTTGACCCTAGGCTGTCAAGAGGGGACCGTTGAGGCGACAGGTGCGCGTCGACGGTGAGATCTCGTTCGGCGATAATTCACCGATGCGCGAGCGGAAATTTTACACGGGAATCGTGTTGCTCTGTATTTGTAGGAATTATCGCGAAGGACTTTTCGGTGTCAAGCGCTGCGCACGTCGCTGACGCGTGTAGGCCACGATGTTCGGAACATGCGCGAAATGGAGCAACGCGAGGAAACGATTGCGGGAAAATATGGATTCGGAGATCTTCTTCGAAAAGTACACGTTGTCGGAGGAAAGCATAGTGAGGCTCGAATCTATCAGAAAAACGATGCAGGATAATATCGCCCGAGCCAATCCGGTGTGGAGGGCGATCGCAGGAGAGGTTAGAACGCATGAGCTTCCGGTATTCCGCTTGTCGTGAGTGAAATCCTCTAGGAGTTACGAGTCTCGTGTGAAGAACTTAATATTTATATTAACTAATCTACCCACGAGAATAATTATTCCGTTACTAAATTGGCTGAAATTGTGTGTGTGTGTGTATGTGTGTGTACAGATAATTTGCCACATATATGCAATATGTATTAATGTACAATTTGCAAACTTTAATTTAGAGCGAAGAAAAGATATCTTCAGAAAGTGAGGACAGTGATAATGATGATGATGCTCAGATGATATCCAGTCATTCGATACTAGAACCATCTACTCAGTTTTATTTCAGTCAAGTTGAGCGAATTATACCTACAGCAGATGCGGAGAATATTGCTCCGTTACAGAAGTATGATATATTAGAGTCTCTCTGTGAGAGCTTAGAAAGAAACAATGGGAAATTCGATTTTGCTCAATTGGAAAGCCTTTCTGATGAGGATCTTGTATCACTAATAAATGAGCTGGCTAAAAAGTTAAGTCCAAAGGGCATTTATAACATATGCCAGTCGATGAAGGACATGACTGTCGAGGAGAAAATGAAATATCTCAGTATATTGTGCACATATTTGTTACTACCAAAAGTAATTAATAACATAATACGAATAATTCCAATTATACCAGTTGATCATTTCTTGAACTATGATCATAGATTATCGAACTTGAAGAGCCATCTCGTTTATTGTCCTCCGCAATCAGTGAATGTGTTAGGAAATTCCCCGATGAGGTCCAGCGGTTCATATTTCTTCCTCTTCTTGATACTGAATTGAAAGACACAACGTTGATCATTACCATTATAAACACATTTGAATTAGAAAAGAAAGCGGTACTCTTAAAGTATGTTTTATTAATCTTTAATTGTACGAATTTTTAAATCCAGATACTTTGATCCTTTTGAGATCATCCATTATAAAACAGACTGCAGATCTGCGGTAATTTTGAGAGTGATTATTGCATGCATAAACAGATATTCTATTTTGAATCATTCTAGAAAAATAGTAACACACTTAATAAGAAATATTTCATGTCTTTGCAGAGAATTCCTTGCATTTGTCAAGGAACTGAAGTCATGGCATATACCTGTTTTGCAAAACCTCTTATCTATAAGACTTGATCATGACATGATTGATAATGTTATAAAACTATTCTTGGGCAAAGCGCTTTATTACTCCAAAGATAAGAATTTCGGGAAACTCGTATTGTCGTTTTTAAAAATCAACACAACGCTGTCGCAAGAGCAGAAAAACTCAATGCTTGAGATAACCATTATTCATGAAACATTATTCAAAAAACCCATAGAAAATTTGTTGCGGAATATGTAATCCGCTAAGTTATCCGCGCTAAACAAAATAAAAAATTATCTTTACGATGAAATAATGATGTAAATAATTTGTTGTATAAGAATTCCTGACTAGTTTTATAAAAAAAAAAAATTAAAATTTGTATGTAAATATTTTAATTACATTTTGCAAGAGACATATGTTAAAATTTATATTTGGTATTAACAACAGATAACAAAACTTAAATTGTCAAACTAGCATTGTTTGAGTGATTTTCTTTTATCTTAAGAATTTGAGAGCTTGATGTATAAATATAGACGTGAAGTAGATTAATTTGACGTTTGGTCTGCGTTTACGGCGATGCGCGCGAGATACGACTCTCTGTGCTGATCAGCGCGATGTAGATTTTTCTATTAGTAAGTTCGTGTCGCGGAGTTTGTTTCATTGACTCGATACGGCATACGATTCCTTCCTGAAAGAAAGGCACCCGTGATAATTATTTGTCGAGGCGAAACGCGATTGCCGTGCAAAAATGGCAGAGGAACTCTCCGGTATCACCATAGTGATATTCATAGCAGCAGGCGTTTTGACGATAATGCTGCTGTTTATCTTCGCGAAACGGCAAATTATGAGGTTCACCCTGAGATCTCGCCGAGGTCCGCATATTCCTATAGGACACGATGCGAAAAAGGTGAGTCTTTCGACGGTAACCTTTGAGGTTAACCTATACTTATTGCCATGTATTGTTCTTCAGTCGTTGCTATGAATGTTTCACGTTGCAGTCCTTCAAGAAGGAAATAGAAAGGAGGATAGAGGTGATACCCAGAATTCAATATGAACCGCAACTCATCAGTGATTCTAGATATATCCTGACTCCAGGTGGCCAAGCTCCGCCACATTATTACAGGCTGAAGACAGTTGATGATGTAAAAAGCTTAGGTAAATTGCTGCATTGTTGCATTATCGTGTCAGATTCAGTTTTAATTCCTAACAAATGTGTCTGCAGAGTCAGAGATTACGAAGTATGACAGTTGTCTGAAAAGACATCCTTCGGAAAATCTGAGAGCTTACTTGCTCACCACACTTGCCACTCCGTTGAATGGAAGCGGCCAGCGCTTAATTCACCAGTTCTGTGATCTCTACGAGCACGCGAGACACGACCCTACCGAGTTCGGCGACGAGGAGTACCAAGTGTACACTCGTTTGTATCTGAAGTTAATGGATGCGTACGTATAATTCAGCAATAATTCACTCATGTCGAGCAACCGTCCATCTTTATAAAGAAACAATAAAGAATGCTTAAGCAGCAATTTTAGCCGTCTTGAGTATATACGATGAAAGAAACGGAGACTCTTGGTAATTTGAGATGTTCATTGATTGTTCAGGGCACGCTTGTTGAAGTCGTATCCGAGCAGCAGGAAGTCCAGTCCTAGTCGCACGCCGATCAAGAAGAGCGTCGAAACGAAGAGGAATATCCTGGAGCCCAGGATGCGTCCACCCGAGGAACAGATCCTAACCGGCTCGAGACCCAACACTCTGACAGTGATGGCGTTAGACAACAGCGAGACGTCCGTGTAGCATTATGAGTGTCGTCACATGTAACATATGTGACGAGGAAATTTGTAGATAGGTATGACACTGAAATAATAGGTGTATGGGAGCTACGTGCGAAGGAAGATGAAAGATGATCTAGTTTTAGTTAGGGATCCTTATGCAATATGCATTTTCACTTTTACAACAAGTGCACCTGTGGCCGCTGCTTCATTCGAGTTGAGTATCAGTATTATCATGAGTAACTTATATTTTATAGAGACAGCGCGCGCGCACGCGAATACGCGTTTCTCCTTCCGATTTCTTTTGATATTTACATTCGTATTTACATTTGTATGATTTTATATTTACACAAGGTCGAGGAGCCTTATGAAATAGCGTTTCTTCACATTCTTCGTATCGATATTGCGAAATATTTCAACAGGTACTGATGTATATAAGAGAAAAAGGAACAAGTGTAAGGAACAAGTAGTAATTATCGAAATAGGAGGTTACTAGTAGGATTTTTTAAAACGTCTACTTCATCATATGTGATTCTCTAGGTGGCGATAGCACTAAGCCGATAACTGCTAATTGCGATTAACCGAGGTTTTCTTCTTCTCTTCCATGTGATTGACTCTTCAGATAGTTCAATGTAGAATACACATACGCTCGGCTACATATATATAAATCTACATATCCTTGATGAAATTCGGAAAGAAACGTTCGTATTAACAGGAAGATAGAAAATTTTCACGTTTTTAAAATGTTTATCTCTTTTGACAATGACGGATCAGCTTATCTTTTTCTACACGTTATTGTTGAAAAGTATATAATACGCACGATATACTGTATCGAACATAGAGAAGTTTCTAACAATTAAACGAATTGAGCATTAATCGTGCGATAAGGATATACGGACCTAAATGTATATACATGCCTGTCAAGGCTTGATATAAATTATTATTTCGTTAGTGACTAATAGAAAAGCGTAGACGTTTGATCAGGTTGGTGTCGGGTGTGTCCATAATTTTCCATTGCAGTCGTAGGATTTAATAATCGTCAACCGAGTACACAAGGCTGAGTAATGCGAAGAAAAAAAAGTAAATCTACCGTGAACGTATATAATCTTCCCTTTTTTTATACAAAAATATCTCGTGTAAATACATTTAGTTGTACACGCGTATAGTTATGTTGGGATACAAGTTTTAACGGACAGGTAACTTGTCCACTGTAACATATAGTCTTTTTCATGTCTTAATAAGATTAACGCGCTTTGAAACGCAGGTCTATATACATCAGGTACGGAACTGGTCCTCATGTGGTTCAGCCAATTCATGATCTAAAAAAAGGAAAAGGGAAAAAGCGATTAATACGATTGATAATCTGTACTTATATCGATGGATATTGTTCATTTCACGACGGAGGAAAAAGCTTCGTCACAGTTTCAATTTAACAGACAGATGTACTACGTTTGTAGCCGTTAAGAGCGTGTGAGATTGCGTATAAATATCTTTGTAAGATGTATATGTAAGATACTTTTAGTTGGACGAAAGAGACGCAATAAGGTAAACGGGGATGAGTACCAGACGAGTTATGGATTTCCAAATTTGCTTGTTGACGAGCACGAAGAGCGCTTGCGGGAACAGTCGTATCCTGCAATCTTGTGAAGCGCTCAACAATTCCTTTCTCGGCAGGAGACAGTCCATGCCGGACAAGCAGATAACCGAGATGAATAAAGTGTCACAGTAGAAAGCGATCTGGTCTTTTTCGTCGGGCGACTCCAACATGAGCATGTCGATGCGGCTCATGAACTCCACGATCCAGTCCACACAGTACTTGTCCGTCGTATACCTCAATTCAGCCAACACCCTCTGCACTCCTTCCAACAAATACCTCCGCATCCTAGAAAGCGTAGCGGGAAGGATAACGTTCATTTCTCGTGAATAATCAAAGCGAACGGTCAAGCTGGTCATTCATCATCCCCACCTCAACACCTACCCTGTAGAATTGGACGCGACCACGTCGATAGGTTCATTCAGCCAAGTGAGCGGCGTTTCGGTGAATCTCTTCGAGGCCAGCTCTACTCTGACAGCGATAGCGTTCCTCAGCTTCTCCGGCGTTCCTTCCCACCACCAGAGACTGGGCGACGTCATTCGCTCCACTTCGTCGGCCGAGAGCTCCATCACGGCCGTGAAATACTTGTGGAAACGAGTCGATGTTAGATCGACGTTCTGGAAGACGTTCTTCAGTATGGTGTACAACAGCGTACGATTGCCCAGGTGCGTGGCGTCGCTGTTCAAAACTGTGGCGTAAGAAGACATAATGCGATCGAACGAAGCGGCCGCTTTCTCGTCATTAAGCGACATCTTGTCGACGACGTAGTCGAGGGAGATCTCGAGGAAGTGCTTCAGATCGTTCGGTGGCAAGGCCCGGCAGATCTCGTGCAGGTTCGCGTAGAACGCTAGATGTTTTTCGTTCACCAACAGCAGACCGGCGTCCGACGCGGGCTTGAAGATCGCCGACCTGTATTTTGACATGCAATTCTCCACCAAGAGTTTCGCCGACAGCGAGATGTACGAGTGACGGCTCACGATGAACAGACCGTACTCCTTGGCCGTCTCCGAGATCTGCATGGTTTTACTCAGGAAATCCCACTTCACGTTCGGCAATAGTTTCGTATACTTGTGGGCGAATATCCTCATGCACTCCAGGATGACCCTCTGTTCATTCGGATCCGTCGGGTCGCTTCGCCTCAGATGTTCACCGACCGCCCTGATCACGCTTCTCTCTGGCAGATATTTGAAGTTACACGGTTCTCCTTGCGACCAGTTGTATATCTGCGACTTGTAGGTGCCCAGCTCTTCCTCGATGTAGGAGATCAGAAGGTCCCCGGCCACCGGCAGGATACTCCTGTTCACGTTCTTCAGCATCTGTATCCAGCAAGCGCCCGGTACATACTGTAACATGTCCTCGGGATTGACGTCCTTGCTGGCCGCCTTCTCGTAATATACGCGAGGCAACGTAACGTTCATCCGGAAGTCCAGCGGCAAGGCGTTCAGGGGGATTCGCGCGAAAGAGTAGGATTTCAACGCCCTGAGCGCCGACTCGGCGACTCTCATGTCCCCGCTGACCACGTAGCTCCATAGTAGTGGCACCACGTCGACGAAGAGGCTCTCGTAGTCGTCGTCCGACTTGAACGGGAAGGAAGGTACATCTGCGAAGAGTCTACACAAGCTCTCCAGGATTATTGTGCGCTTCTCTTTGCGCATCTTCGGCGCTAACAATTTCCACGTTGAGCAAACACCTGCGAAACGAAGTTGCGGTATCAGTGTTAATCATAAGAATCGCCTTGCTTCACGAAGAAATATAGAAATAAGGGATCTTGCATAGCAGAAAATTTTATGTTAAATTTAACACAAAGTGGATATGTTGAAAAGTAACACAAATATGTAAAAAATTAAAGTCAACATCCATAATATGCCAATCGATACTGAAGTATAAATGCATTATTTTACACTTACAAGTGTTATTTTAACACTTACACATGTTGAATATCGACTCAACACGAAATACATTGAGATAATATGAGCACAATATATTAAATTATCACACGGGTATGTTAGAAATTTAACAGAGAAATTTCAACAAGGACCGATTTTAACACAAGTACAAAGTGTTTTATACTGCGTGAAGTACCTATCACAGCGGACTCGCACAGCAACGAGATGCTGTCGAGCGCGAGCGCGCTGGCCGTGCCGCCGTTCTGGTCGTGGCAGCGGTTCAGGATCTGAGACAGCAGCGGCACGAAGTCCGTGCAGAGCTCGGGCCGGCTGCCGCAGACATGTTTTATCGCCCGGGCGCACGCCACGTCCGAGTGCCAGTCGTGGCCAGTCTCCTTGGCCAGGTCAATCAAGGCGTCGGATGCAAAGCGCTGGCAACGCGGCTCCTTCTCCAATGCTATCGCGTACAGCTGGACGGCGAAATATCGCAGGGACGTGTCGCTGTTCACCAGCGAGTTCAAAGTGTAAATGACGATCCGCTGGTTTTCCTTGAACGCGACGAACTCCGGGAGAGCCAGCAGCAGACACTTGCACATGGCGCTGTCGCGGCTCTTCGTCAGTTTGTGCAACAGCAAGGACAGCATGTGCGACGCGAAGGCGTTGATCTCGCGCACCAGTTGCACGAGAATCCCGCAGGACTTTCTCACGATGTGGCACTCGTCGCTGAGCAGGAAGATCCCGCACAGGACCAGCTTGCACATGTACCGCAGATCGACCGGCGCGAGCGAGAAATTCTCCAGCCAGGACTCAAAGTCGTCCTCCTCCAGAGAGTGCAGACTGCGCACGAGCTCTGTGTAGATTCGAATGTGGCTGTTGCTGTGGCCGAACGTAAGCAGCAGCTCGTTGGAGGTGCTAACACGACGACCAGTCGTTTCTTTTCTTTGCAAGATTTTGTTTATCAGTTCCTTCGCCGCCGGCAACAATTCTCGGCACAACAGCGACGGATAAGCCAGCCACTTCAGCAAGGCCGCAGCCAGTGCGTGTAGTAATGCAACGTTGCACGGCATCTTGTCCATGATAACTCTGCCTACGGTCATAAGTGAAATTAAATCCCACGGAATCTCGAGCAATTTCTCCGTTCGGGAAAAGAACGTAAGAGAATTTCACCGCATTATTTATGTATCTTTTATAATACACATACTCACATATATCGAAAACTTTCAACAGGTAAGTGGCTGGGCATATGAGAATAATTTCGGCCGTTAAAATGATCATGATGTCTCCTATGGAGTCGTCACAGCATTGTTCCATTATGTCAAATATCATGGAAAAATTTGGCGTCGGCTGATGACCGTGTTCCAAACAATTGACCGTCAAAGACGTGATCAGAGGCACCAGCGCTGTACAGCACTTGATGTCTTTCTTCAGCAACGATATCTCCGCGAGCTCGAGCACTCTGCAATTCGTATCGATGCAGGAATGTGTCTGATTGGTGCACAGCCAAAGTAAGATTTCTACTTGTAAGTCCGAGGCGTCGTTGGACTCGATCACAAGTTGCCACGCTTGTCGCTTGAAACTGTCGTCCAAGTCCGCAGAAGGATTGCACAGTATGTACAGGAATACAGGCTGCAACAGTTTCATACGCCATTTTATGAGCCTGAAATCCAAACAGGTTAAGTTTCAACGTTGATCATCTGAAAGTTATTTCTTGTAAATTCGTTCGAGTGAAGAAGTTGAAGTTGAAGTAAGAAGTTCACCGAGTGAACTTTATACTTCTTTGTCCATTTATTCTTAAATTGAATGGTGATGATTTATGAAATTATCTATATATGTATATCGTTTTGCGACATGTGTGTCTGTGTGTGTATATGTATTTTTATATCAGTGGTAAAAATACTCTTTATTATTATGATGCATGATCCGCTTCATCTGAATCAGCACCGTTCGCCAACTGTGCTTCTCATGATTCAGAATTGTGATAAATGGATGTTGATTAGGTGCTTGAAGGGTATATTCGTTAGGCTCATCGTATGCCTTGCTGCCTAACATTAACAATTCACTCACAGCCACAGTGACTGAATCATAATTCCTGTGAAATCACATATAATACAAAATTTGGCAAAAATATGTATAGAAATATATATTGATTGTATAGTTGTTTCAATTAATACATACTTTGGAGAGCACACACTTAAGAAAGTTGCTATCGCAGACTTAGAAGCATACAATCTAGCTTCAACAAGTATAATCAATGCTTGACAGGCTGTTGTACTGACTATGGAGTCATCGTTCCTGCATTTTGAAATGAGTGCTTGGAATTCTGGTATCTACAAAGAAACAATATATAAAAATCAACAAACATGCTAATCGTAGATTAAAGAGGCAAAAAATCAATTTACTTTTGCAATATCCTCTTCTATCTTTGCCTTTTCTATGGTTGTCTGAACAAGTTTGGATATTGCCTGTGAAGAAAATCAAATGAATGCCAATTAAGTACAAACTTGAGCTAATACAAAGTGTATTATCGATTCTTATAAATCTACTTACATGTGATATCAAAGCAGGATCTTGTGATTTTAACTTATATTCGATCTCATCCATGATTTATGCTAACTTGAATTATCTTTTGCAAACTGTTTTGCAAATTGTCGTAAACGTATTTTGTGGAAATTATTTGTAAGTTTCCCTGCAAAATAGAGTGCACAGTAATATCACAGTCGCATTGAGTCGTGTTATTATAAAATAAACAGTACCAGCATATGTCAACAAACATTAAATTATATTTAGCAGAAGAAGCAGCT